TCAAGATTCATTTAATATTTGTAGACGCAAACAATACCAGGAATTGCGAACACTAGATTTGAGTCTTTCTCTGTAAACAGGTAAAATTTGACAGGAATAATTTAAATTGCACATTGGATCACAGTTTCTTTTGCTCAAATCCAGGATTTTCTGATTCCATCCTATCCCAGTGCTTGGTCTTCTGCTAGAAAGCAATGTTTTCCACAATATATGCTAATTTAGATAATACAATTTGAGGCAGGATAATAAAATCTGGGTTGGAGTAACCTCCGTAAGGAGAGCACACATTCCTGGGTGGTGAAATATCTTACTCTTTTTGAAATCTTACACTGGCTTCAACACCTGTGTAATGACTTTATAGCCCATGCACTGTAAATCGTAATCCTGGCTGTTAGAAAGACAGACCTGAATGCCAAATAGGTCTTTATTCTTTTATCTTATAGCACTTAGAGACCCACTTCAATATGAGCTGGCTTCTGTATCAGATATTCTTATTTTGGCAGCTGTGAAAATATATGTTGGAGTTCATGGTATAAATACACAAGCTGTACTTTATTAATTTTGAAGATTTTGCATGCAAGCATAGATATCAGAGTTTAATTTTTCCTGTTTTATCTGTAGCTTGCAGTTGATAGCCAGGTATTTGCACAGATTAGAGGAGTTCTTCTCCCCCATAGTTGGACTTGCTGTCAGTACGAGTGGCCTATGCTGAGTTGATCTTATATGGGTTTCATGTACCATGAGAGCAGCTGTTAGAAGTGTGGTGGGCTAATTCCAGTTGGGAATCATTTACACCATGGATGTAGAACCTAAGGCCTGAGGGACAGATGCGGCCCCCAACTTAGTTGGATCCAGCCCCTGAGACTTGGGGCTCCTCCTCCCCTCTCCAGCATTTGGGAGCCCACGCTGGTGCTCCAGCCCCCATGCTGCTCTCCTGTGGGACTGGAGCACACAAAATCTTCTAGCCTGGCCCCCCTAGACTCTGGTGTGCCAGGGGACTGTGGGAAGTATCTTTTTCCTTCTCAGTCTATGTTAAGGCCATGTCAACGAGAGTTTGGGAGGTTTGAGGGGGGGGATGCTTCTTATTTGTGATGGTGTGCCAGGGGACTGTGGGAAGTATATTTTTCCTTCTCAGTCAATGTCAAGGCCATGTCAATGAGTGTTTGGGAGGTTTGAGGGGGGGGTTGCTTCTTATTTGTGTGCAGCCCTCAACCGATTTTTCTGTGGGTCAGTGGCCCCTGAGCCAAAAAAGGTTCCCCACACCAATTTACAACAAAAGGGAGCCAGTAGGAGTTCTACTGAGGTTGTTTCAGCTGAAAGTCACTCTGCAGATCCTATGTTAATCTAAATTCCCCCAGGATTCATAAATATTGAAGCCAGAAGGGAACATTATGATCGATCATTTTGTCTGACCTCCTGCAAACACAGATAAATATTGAAGCCAGAAGGGAACATTATGATCATTTTGTCTGATCTCCTGCAAACACATGCCAAAGAATTTCACCTAATTCATGGAAGGAATTTATCCTTCCCTTCTATCTTATTAAACCTCTTAACCTAGTGTCTTTTCCTGTGTAGGTCAATAACAGATTTTGTACCCATCAGAGCTGTGTCTGAGTTCTGTGCCATTTATGTCTCAATGCTCTTTCCAAGTTACAGATAAAATGCATTTGTTTTATACCTATATAAAATATCATGTTCATTTCTGTCCACTGTATGGATGAGATGATTGGAATAAATGACAAGTCAAAGGCTTATTTAAATGTTTGGTTCCGAAATCATCTATATTTCTTGAAGATCAGTATTTTAGGAGGAGGAGATGCTTGGAGGAAATTCTACCAGATTATGAACATTTCTTCTTGGAGTACCTGGAATGACTGAAATTGAGTTCCTTAATGCAAGTGATACTACATGCCTCGGCGTGAGGAGATTAACTTTGCATTGTGAAACATAATTATTTTAGTAACTACTAATTATTGCATTTTTAAGGGGAAAGTATTTCATATATCTTGGTTTCTGGGATAGTTTGCATCAGATTAAGATCCGCCTCCTCCAGCTATAAGGTGTTACTCATGTTATATTGGATTTGAATACCCATGAAGATGTCTGAATGCCAGTGCCCAAGGAGATTTTCAGTAGAGAGAGAGAGAGAAACTTCTTGACAAGATTATAGGCTTGTCACAGATGCCTAATTTCTCTATTTGTCTGTAGGGTTGCCAACTGCCTAATCACACAAAGCCAAAGGCCCTTGCACTGCCCCTTCTCTGAAGCCCTGACCCATTCACTCCATCCTCCCCTCCCTCTGTCGCTTGCAGAAACCAAGAGCAACCAGTGCTTGTGCCTGAGGTGAGTTCAGGTCCCCTCACTTCACTGGAGCTGATTAGGGTTGCAGTGTTGACATTTAAGGTGCTGCTGCAAGTGGTTATTGCCCCCTCATTTGGGCATTTTTAATAAAAAAAAATCACAATCACTAAAGCCATCAATTTTACTACATTTACCATCATTACTCTATGATTTTTTAGATGCTAGGACAAATCTGCAGCCTTAACAGTACATAAATCAAGGGCCAGTGAAGGAGCTTAATAAATTAGTAAGTGAATAGCAAGTTCTTCAGAGAATAATTAGAAATTACTGCATCAGTGATCTTTAGTGTCAGTTAATTATTACCAGCTAGGATCTCCAAAATATTGATGCATTGCTGCTACCTGACCTTATTGTAGAAAATAAAGAAGTTCTAGATGTAAAGAATTAGGGGTTTTTTTACTTGTTAGGGTTTTTAAACATTACAGATGGCTTGAAATAGATTAGAATAATATTCTAATGTAAAAGGGAACTTAAGTTTGTGAAAATGAGGTCCAACTAATGGATGAAAAAGTCTGTATGGATTTCAGAACCCCTTTTGTGAATAATTGATTTGTGTCTTGACATTTGACATGGCATTCTCTTGAACCTTCTAGTGACATAAAGGGCATATATTCTACTATGAATAGGGAGCCTGTTTTTGCCTTAGAGTTGAGACACATCTTTTTATTTTAAACTTTCTCATTTTCATCACGAAGATTTAAATTTCATGTTTTAGAGTATAGAACAAGCACAGATCTATAATTTAGCAACATGTACATTGGATGCCATTGAGTGTAGTATGCCAAAAATGCATATATTACCAGTATTATTCCCTGTTTGAAGAGTTTCTATTTTTGTTCTGTGTCTTGTAAATCTAACTATTTATCTATCTAATATTATATAGTCTTTAATTACGGCTACCCCTCAGATTTAATTACATGATAATATACTATTTTTTTTGGTATTTTACATTTTGCCTCATTCTGTGAATAGGATGAACAGTAGCTAGGAATGTATCACTCAGAAGTTGAATAGTGAATGAAACTATTGTCTATAGAACTCCTACCACATTTGATTCGAAGTCGAAAGTCGTGTAGTGAAAGAGAGCACAGACACAGGTTAAGTGGCCTACACTTTTAACTTCTCAGTAAGATATAAGGTTTTCTTCAGCAATAAGAGATATAAAAGGCACATACGTAATTACTACTATCAGTCAATAAGAGAGGTGAATGTAAGAATCATGGTCTTCTGGTACCCAGAACATTGTACATTCCCGAAGGCCGGGGTGGAGAACTTTTTTACTGTGACGCACAGAAAAACTTTTTTACCAGTGACCCACAGAAAAATTCAATTGCAGGTCACACACGGTTCTGAGAGGAAGCATGGAGGTGCAGAGATTCTCCCCACAATGGCTGAACCAGTCCTCACGTCTCCAGCCCCATGAGGGGCGAAGGGGGGCAGAGGACCGGGAGGACAGAAATGAGGGGCTCGGGATGCAGGAGGGGGCGCCAAGCTAGGGTAGAAAGTGAGGGCTGTGGATGGGCTCTGGATTAGGGCTAGGGAGGAGGGGTTTTGGGTAGAGGAAGGGGGCTCCAGGCTGGGGCCAAAGGGTTTGAAGTGCAGGTTTGGGGTCAGTGCTGGGCCAGGGTGTTGAGCTGCAGGGTTTGGAAGAAAGATATGGTGCAAGAGGGTATCCATCCTGGGGCAGGGGATTTATGGTGCAGGTTCCAGATGGGAGGCATTACCTGAAACAGTTCCTGCTCAGTGATGTGGTGGGGTTAAGGCAGGCTGCCTGCCTGCATCCAGATCTGTGCTGCTTTCAGAAGTGACTGCCATGTTTGGTTCCAAGGCTAGTGGGAGCTGCTGAGTATGTGTAGAGGGCAGAGACAGCACATGAGACTTCCCTGATCTCCCCTGCATATTAGGGATCAGTCCGCAGGGAAACGCTGGGGCTTCTGGCCTGCGGCAGAGAGATTTGCCACAGATCAGATGAAATTGAATTGAGAAGAAGTCATCTGGAGAAGTGGGTTGTGCCCACAAAAGCTCACGATACCATCTACATTTTTGGTTAGTGTCTCAGGTGCTTCAAGACTATTCGTTAGTTTTTTCAGTTTCAGACTAACATGGCTACCCCTCTGAAACTAAATATTAGGATCACTAATATAATTCCCCATGTAATAAATGTATATATTTTAGCCTTTAATTAGACCATGTTTGCACATGTTTTGAAGATTTTAATCTCATAGTACCTTTGCAAGATAAAGAAATGTTATCTGTTATTTACAAACAGAGAAATTAATATGACTTTGGCCATTGAGTCATTTGGCAGAATTGGCACTAAAATAATGACTCCTCATTCTTAGTACCTGTTCTTTCATCACAGGTAGAGAAGTACTCTTTACATAGGAATGTTGTATGCTTTACAGGTTCGACATATACTGACCAAGAAAACTGAGACATATCTCAATGTGCTGGTTATGGGTGCATCAGAAATTCCTAGATAGCAGGCTAACATTTTATGATAAACTGTTCTTAATGGAATTAAGAAGTTGTTGATATCAAGACTCAAATCTCTGCTGAAGAGGTGGAGTTCGGTCAGTTTGGCTGTGATAATTTGTTGGTAAAATAACCTTAACTCGATGTTCTTACTGTTCCAGCTGGCCTTGCTGAATTTTTTCCTCCCTGAAGAAAAGCTACATTTTGAAGAAGAAAGTAAGCATGTCCGCCGAAATAAAAGGAGTAAAAGTAGCGAAGGTCCTGATGGTGAGTTTGTCTTTATTCTTTGTCTGCATTTCTCATTTCTACAGGCAAATGAGGGACAAGCTGTAAATTAACAAGGGAGCTCCTGTATCTTGTAGTGCCTCCCTGAGCTTACTTAACATCCAGACTGTTAGTTCCATAAAGTCCTGTTTCCATACTATACCAGGATAGTCACTGATTTTAAAATTAATATCCAACCAATCATTATTTGCCCCAACTATACTTTTTATAATCACCAGTGATTCAGTAAGGGGCTTCTTTTTGTCTAACAGCCTTTGGCTTGCTTAATTATATGATTTATTCATATACTGTCTTTACTCCTTATTTCCTTAAAATCCATGTTCTGTCGGTGGTTGTGGTTGCTAAACAGCTGTGAATAGCGCTTCACTACAGAATTGAAATGTGTTGTAACTGGGATGCTGTGTATAGTTGTACAAAAGATGGGTCCACACCGCTTAGCTCCTCAATACTTAAAGTACTTTGAGTGTTTGTTTGTGTGTGTGTGTGTGTGTGTGTGTGTGTATATATATATATATATATATAGTATTTAAGGTGTGTTTACACCCAGTGCACTCAAGGCAGAAGTTTTTGGTAAGAAATTCCCTTTGGGGTGGCACATTCATCTTGAGTGTCATCTTGCTTCCAGCTATAGTTAGAAAGATGTATCACCCCAAAACACTCTCAAATCCTCAGCTCACAGCTTGATGCTTCAAAGCTCACTGTTACTCAGTACTTACCAGAACTTTTATATTATTAACTTAGGTTATGTCTACACTACAGTGTTAATTCAAGTTATCTTAATTCAAAATAGTTAATTCGAATTAAGATAATTCAAATTAACGCGTCTATACACATTAATTGCAGGTTCCTGGGAGCTGGCAGACTGCTCCTGGGGAGTGGTGGAGGGCTGGCTGCCAGTGGCTTGTTGGCTCATGTTTGCAGGCACTGGGTCAGGGGCAGTGACTGCTGGCTCTGGGCTGGCAGGCTTGGAGCTGGCACAGGCACTGTGGCCAGAGTCTACCCCTTTAAGGGCTCTGAGGAGGAGTGGGAGGGAGAGAGAGTGGCCACCAGGAGAAACTGGGAAGGCTGAAGGCCTCCTATTTCAGAATAATTATACTACACAGCGCTTATTCCGAATTAGCTAATTTGAGTTTGTCATTACTCCTCATAGAATGAGGTTTACCAAACTCGAATTAAGCGCCCCGCTATTTCGATTTTAATTTGAAATAGCGGTTTGCCTGCATAGACATACCCTTAGTTTATATAGTAATTAGACAGTAGTTAGATAGTGATAGGTTTTTTGAGTGTTGACTTTTTTCTCTTTTTTTGAGAGAATTCTCTCCCTTTTTTCTGGTTTGGTACATAGGTGCTATAGTTTTGTTCCTTTGTTTAGGATGCCATTGATAAAATCCCTGGATTTTAAACTTGTGCATCCTCTCAGGCAATGTTACCTGTAAACAATGGGCACACATGTGGCTTTTTCTTTAGGAGAATGCCACATTTCAGAGAGATGCACTGTATTTAGATTCTTCTCTAGATGAACAAAGAAATCTAGAGAAAGCAAACTGAGAATATACCTCATGAAAAATTCCACGCACACGACTTTGTGTCTGGGTCAGTTTCATTGAGGAGTGCTTCATAAACCTATGTACCTTTGGTCGCCATTCCGATTCTGAAGACCTTATCCCGTGAAAAAGGGAAAAATCCCCAGAAATCAACTAGAGAGAGGAGGCGTTGGTCACAGTCTCTAGAGCCATCATCTAAAATCCTTAAGTCAGGGCCAGACCCACTTCCTCAGATCAATCACTATCACTAGAGAGAGGAGGCGTTGGTCACAGTCTCTAGAGCCATCATCTAAAATCCTTAAGTCAACATTTCTCAAACTGTGGGTCCCGACCCCCCGGGGGGTCGTGAGCAACTTAAAGGGGGGTCGCGGTATCACAAAGCTTGGGAACCCCTGCCTTCAGTCATCTTATATCTCACGAGGAAAAAGTATAGCTTCAAGTCCAGGAGAGACTGCTTCACCAACTAGTCACTCCATAAACATGAGGCTTGAGTACCAACTGAGAACTTAGCTGAATCTGACACTGAGCAGATTTCATCAAAGGACCTGGTGCTGCTATCTTCTGCTGCAGTGGTTCAATCTCTTCCAGTACAGATAACCAAAGTAGCAGTGATTTTGATAATGACTGTGTCAATGCTGATTACTCGCTCAGCACCAACAAGCTCAATACCAGAAATTTCCTTCCATCTCACATTCAGTACAGTCCTTCCCATTACAGTTTGTATTGGTCCTGGCCAGTGTTCCCGCTAAGATTTTCCATCCATGAACAGAGTGAGTTTTGTCTTGTGCACCAGTATTGAGGTCATGTGCACTTGTTCAGATGTGTGCCACCATTGCACCCACCAGTTACTAACATATATGATATTTTAATATTAAGAATAAAAAGAGCTGTTAAATAAGAACTTTCAACCAAGTAGCCTTATTATTATGGTGTATAATGTATTGCACCATGCCATCAGTTACAGATAAGGTAAAAAGACATCCCCCCCCATACACACACACACACACACACACACACACACACACACACATACCTGCAAAGTCTGAATAATAAGTAATTTTTTTTTTAAGACCTGTGCTGTGCTGTTATACAACACCAGTAATAAATGGTGGAGGAATGGTTTTCTTGGCAAAGAGCAACTGCTGCTGTTCACAAGGTTGGCAGAAACTGACCTGACCTGCTACAAATGAACTGTTAGTAATACTTTGCAATGGCTAGAGAGATTGCGGCTGCTGGAGTTGGAGCTGGGGCTGCGGTGCAGCTGCTCGAGGGCTGGGGCTGCCCGCGGTGCATGGTGAACCTATGATAATATGAAGGATTCTGATCACTGTTTCCAATATCTTTGCTGTGATGTGGTACTGCTTTCTTTCCTCTTGGACGTTCCTGCATCATCAACAGGAACTGTATGACATTCCATGCTGCCTAAAACTCACTCTTATAGTTTTGAAAAAATGGAAGTAAAGGAAAATTAGCAGAGAGTAATATACAAAAGATTTTTACTCTAGTTTGTTTATGGATAACAAGTAGAACTGGTCAAAAAATGCTGAAAATGTCAGTGGGGGAAAATCCGACTTGTAAAAAAAGATTTTTTTAAAAGGATTTTTTTCATAGAAAAAGTTTGTTTTGCCAAAAGCCCAGTTTTCTTTCAGAAATTGTCAACCAGCCCTTGTAAAAAACAGTTTTTAATTAGTTTGGTGAGAACCAGGCTGTGCTGTCCATTTCTCCTACACCAGTCTTACCACCTTTTGTGATTTTTATTATAGGACTTGCATTACTTTTCTTAAAGCCTCACTGGAAACAAGAGTTGCATCACAATGTCTGCTTTCCCCTTTTTAAAAATTGCATTTGTAGTCTTTGTACTTGCAGAGGAAAACTAGAAAATGTGAAGCAGGAGCTCCCCAAAAGCTCAGATGCCGGACAGTAATTTTTTTTTTTTTGAAGTAATGAATTGTACGTCATCGTGGTAAGACTATGGCAATTGCTTTGAGAAAAGTGGCCATGCAAAACAAAGACACACTTAAACAAATAAATGTCAGTGACATTAATAGGCCCAGATTTCTTGAAAATGCTGACAAATGTAGAATACCAGATCACTGAGCCACTGCTCATATACTTAATCTTTTAATGAACATATGATCTATGAATACAATGATGACTCTACATAAGAACAGCCATACTGGGTCAGACCAAAGGCCCATATAGCCCGCTCTTCTGGCAGTGGCCAATGCCAGATGCCCCAGAGGGAGTGAACAGACACAAGTAATGATCAAGTGCTCCCTCTTCTTCCATCCATTTCCAGCCCCTGACACACAGAGGCTAGGGACACCATTCCTACTTATCCCGACTAATAGCCATTGATGGACCTCCATCTATTTCTGGTGATAAGCCCACAGAGTCCAAAAGGGCCATTGGATGGGCACCTGTCATTGGGAAGGCCAGGCTTGAGCCAATGCCGTAAGTGCCTCTGGGTGGGAGTGCCAGGAGAGGGAATGGAATCAGGAGCTCCAGGACCTGATAGACTCCGCCTCTAACTTAGATGTATATTCTGACGCCAACTAGGAAGGAGCTGAGCTGGACGGTGTCGTTTGGTACCAAGGGGAGCATCTGTGGATGCTCATGGCTGTGGGCTTCCCATGCTGCAGTGGTGCCGACAGTGCTGAAAACATCCCCGGTGACAGAGCTAGCAGTGGAGGCATAGGTGATGCCTGTGGCAGTGCTGTGTGTGCTGGACACAGAGCCAGAGGGGCTACCTGTGTTGTAGCTGCCAGTGCCAACAACATCACATTAGCCAGTGCCACCAAAGAGAGGGACGGATGCATCTCGAACAGAGCTGTGCCGTAAATTCAATGAGGTCTCGCACAGCTTCAGACGTATCTGGTAAGGAGGGAAGGTCGAAGTCCTCCTCCATCACCACCGGCACCGGAGAGTCTTCAATAACTACTAGGGAATAACTACTTGTGAAGCAAGAAGTCAGAAAATCCAATGACTGTCACTTGTGGAAAAAGGAACTGAGCAGGAGTCTGGTTGGCAGGGGTAAATATATGATGCCGGGAGGTATCACCATAGGGACACTATAGCCAATTTGAGGGGTACCACTAGGGAGAATCTGACAATCATGCACATGGTACGCACCTACATATTGGAATGCACATGAGCAATCACGTGAAGAAGAATTGTTCAAAGCCTTCTACTGAAACTTGGTAATTTTGGTCTGCTTTTTTGGATGCGGGTTATAAAGAGTATTAGAGCCCACCATAACAGTCTTGAGAGATTTAAGAGGTCTTGACAAATACAAAGTACTCCACATAGGGAGAAACAGTCAACTTCACATATACAAAATGGGAAGTGACTGCCTAGAAAGGAGTACTGCAGAAATGGATCTAAGGGTCATAGAGGACCACAAGCTAAATGTGAGTCAATAGTGTGATGCTGTTGCAAAAAAAAAGCAAACATCATTCTGGCATGCATTAACAGGAGTGTTGTGGACAAGACACAAGAAGTAATTCTTCCCCTCTATTGTGTGGTGATTAAGCCTCAACTGCAGTATTGTGTCCAATTGTGGAGAAAGTCCAGGGAATCTCATGGCACTGCTGGTGCTGGCATTATAAGATATTTGCATACCAGATGTAGAAAACATCCAAATGTATGTAAATAAATGTATTCTATTATTGTTTAACACCACAATTAATCACGATTAATTTTATTCACTTGACAGCCCTGTCACGCATTTGCTTTATTCGGGTCCCACACCCCATCGGTTTACAGTAACTAGCGTGCCCCGACCGATACGTAACAAGAGGTGAGCCTCTGCCTTCTTAAGCTAGGTGCCACCGAAGTGCCTGCCGGTAGCAGGGAGGGGGTTCCGGGCCCACCCTCTCTCTCGGACCCCGGCGCAGGGCCCTGACACTGGGAACAGAGCTCCCAATGGTAGTGAGCGGGGCCGTACCACTTAACACGCCCACTCTCAGGCTCCACAACCCTACCCTGGGCCACTCTCAACCTTGCCACCGAGCTTCCCTTTTTCCCAGAGCAGCCCTTACTGCCCCTCCCTCACTCTCGACTCCCCGTCTGTACCTCTTCCGCATCGAGCCCCCCTCTGGGCTTCCCCTCTCCCGCTTTTATCAATGGTAGTGAGCGGGGCCGTACCACTTAACACGCCCACTCTCAGGCTCCACAACCCTACCCTGGGCCACTCTCAACCTTGCCACCGAGCTTCCCTTTTTCCCAGAGCAGCCCTTACTGCCCCTCCCTCACTCTCGACTCCCCGTCTGTACCTCTTCCGCATCGAGCCCCCCTCTGGGCTTCCCCTCTCCCGCTTTTATATTCCGC